CTTGAGAAACGCTTTTTCTCTCTACTCCATTTTCGTTTTCCATCTCCTCCTACTGCCCTTCGCTTCACATTCGTATTTGCCCACAACGAAGGAAATCTCCATCGTTGGCCGGTCGCTGAGTCATCCTCATTTAAGCTGTCGGGAAAGATGCACGCATTTTTTAATTTTAAAAATGATTAAATTAAATCCATGGACGTGTTCTTTCTCGGAACGAATCTTCTGCCGTAGTCCGGGAAGAAGGGAGCAATTTTCTTGGATGTTATCACCTCCTCCTCGGATTAGATGACCACGTGTCTCGGGGAAGGGGTTGGAGGCTAGCCGACATCATGTACTGGTGAGAGCGTGTCTCTGTTCTCACCACTTTGACAGTGTTTGGTGTCAACATGCTCCCGAGACTCGCATCTGTCGAGAAGTGGCACCGTATTCCAGAAACTTCTCCCGAACGGTAGAAAATGGATTGAAACGACGGCAGCGTTGGCTTCTCCGTGTTACGCGTCAGACCGTAAAATTTCCTCGTAGCTCCATCATTCCACACCTTAGAATGAGAAGAATTCCTTCATAATTTCGATCGTATCATCGATGCGAACAGTTCGAAGCGTGCTTGTTCTATTGGTCGTCACGTAACACTTCTCCGAGGGAATGAACGATGATTTTATAAGCAACGCTCAAATACACTCTCAACATGGATCGAAAAAGTTAAATGTCAACTTCCAATAGTGAATCGATGGCTTTATTCAAGGTTTAGCTGAAACCTGGTTCAAACTGGGACGAAATGCGAGCCTGTGGTTGCAACGAAATGGAAAACCCTGGGTGAAAATCCTCATGCTCGAAGGAACTTCTGAAAAACGGCTTTCACCTTGCGACAGAAGAAAGTCTCATCAGCATTATGCTACCAATCACTGATACTGTATGACATCACACGAAGAGGAAAACGTCAAACAGGGAAATCTTGTTCGTCGAAGGTTCAAAAGCGGGACTTCTTCATTATTTTTAGCGGGTATCGAGGTGAAATTTATGACGATGACTCGAGACGATTGCTCAACTTCTCCATACTTGCGGATATATGGTAGATTTAACGCGGAGAAGGGACCGACGACGCCTAAGGGCGTATGTACACCGAAAGAGGAGCGGAGCGCATGCTCGCACAAACAATCGCTTTCACGCCGAAAGGGGAAGCCCACAGGCGCACGCGTGTGTATCCTAATTCTTCTCTGATCAGATCGTCATGATTCCCTGGGAAAATGCTTGCCTGAAATAGCTCCGATTGTGGAAGAAATGGAAGTTGTGGCTTCATTCCATGGATTTGTGTCTTTCAAAGGCCCCTGAATCGCGTCGGATACCTATTGACTGATGACACTCGAGTTGAATACGAGAGCGTATTTTGTCGTGCGTGGAATGGCTTACAAATTATTTTGGAAGTCCTCAATGAATGCTTACCATTTTAGTAAATAACTCAGCTTTAAAACATGCTGATATCTAGTGGGGAAAATAAAAAATAAAATGTTGAAAATAATAAATAAAACTTCATTTTTCTTGATTTCCATTACGAAGACAGTGCCAAGTCTAATGCCAATGAATTTGTCCATAAAAATCCCATAATCATAATACTGAACCCTAAATACTCTGAATGGTAAAAAAAAAAGGTGTCTTGGATCGATGAACATGAGTTTCCGTCACTTAAGTTGCCTGGAGTGCAAATTTAAAAGAAAGCATGCAATTTTATTGATGTGAATTGATGCAAAAGTCGCATTCATTGCTAGGGATCTTTATCCCGTGACAAATCATGCCGTAAGTTAAAAATGGCATTAAACTACCGGTAAATGAGTTTCACGTGTGCCATTTTCATTCTTCGCTTGCATTTTTGAATTTCTTGCACTCGTGACTTTCACTGCGCGGTTCACACTCTAATCACATCCGCAACATTATTGCCAAGAATGGGAAAGAAGAAAAGCCTCCATGTGCATCTACAGTTAGTGCGACATGATCCATCTGGCTAATTGAACATTTTCGATACAATGATTCCATCACTAAGGTTGTTTTTACGTTCAGAATTTTGTTGCCTCCATCTTTGACTTCTTAACCTTTCGTATACATACATGTTTTAATGATGAAGGACATCATAATAAAGATACATACTTAGGTTCTGTGAATCTAAGAAAACTTGAGAAATTATTACATAATCCAATTTATTTTTTCTTTACCCTGCAGTATATCCTTTCCGAGTTGAAAATTCGTGGATCCATGTAAATCCTGAACGTAGCCCTGTCAGAATAATTTTAGCCCCCTATTTAAAGCAATCCATTTAATGAGGGGAATACGATGGGGGGAAAAGACACGAGAACCTACCTAGACGCCGCAATATCGCGTCGAACTTTCATCCTTGAACAAATCATGAACTGACTCCTTAGCAGTAATTGTGATTATTGATTTACTGATGCTTCACTACTTTGGCGGATGCTCAAATACATCTGAAATACCGATATAATCACGAAGGACAGTGGGAAAAGTCTCAAGTACCACTTTCGGTCCCACCTACAAGGAAGAAAAGACCGTAGCTAAAGTTGTCTAATGCCTAAAGGAGATCTCGCTCACACTACCCTGATCGTTATTGCCCTTGCTTCTATCATGGCTTCTATCGACAGAATATGCTGAAGTTTGCCATAGTGCTTTAACAATTAAGGTGGATATTACTGACGTGACTACTTTTTAGCCATGCTGCAAAAGAACCGCACTTTCTGAGGGTCCAATCCTGTTAGCACATTCTGAGGCCCAATTTTCAATCTGAATATCGTTCACCTATTGTCTATTTTCTGTTCAAGATAGCGAAATATAAGTAGAAACACTGAAAACACAAAGGATGCCAAAATTGATTAATATGCTAAATATGCTAAACTTCTTGTCATGGATTTTTCCAAAACGTCAAATTTTGAAATGCGCAGAAAATGAATTAAAACCATCAACAGGCGTATTACTTATGCCTACGACCCTTTACAAAAGGTAATTTTGCCTTTTGTAACGGGTTAGCACTTCTCAATCGCCGGTCGTTACTATCGCCTCTTTCAATCGCATTTTCCTAGGAAAGATACAGAACGTATCAGGGAGAACTTTTATCAACCTTGCTGGGCCGATAGATGAATTGACTCGTGCTGTGGAAATGCGATTCTCTTACAGAGATCCAAGACCTGCTAAAAATAAGCAAGCATGATTTAGACTCCATTTTTGTCGAATAGTTCCGTGAAGCTGCATCCATTGAACAGTTGTCGCATGACTGATCCTGTACATTAGTTTGTAGCCGAGTTGCCACGAAGGACCCATTCAGCTTCTTGCTGTCGAGAATAGATGGCAGGACTGTCCTGATCTCTTATTTGTCCCTCACATTATTTACTACCTCCCAACTCTCGCGCACTTGCTGGGCATTCGCTGCGGAGCACTCAAGTGAAACTGCAACCGGTTGGGCAGTATTCACCGTCGTTACGGATCAACGATGGCTGTCTCCTTTACTTGCAGACGTCGTGTATGGATAGTTCATACATGACGTTCTTAATTACATTCGTTAACAATAGGTGGTTCTGTTGTCTATCCATGAGTACCATATTCTCATCCCAGCCTATATCTGCTCCATACCTAAGTTTAAATGTTTGCATGAAGTATGCATCCCCAAAATGTCCGTGCTCAGGAGATTATCCCCTATTCAGATGCAAAAGGAATCATTTTAGGCTCGGGATTTCATCGCGTGGAAATACGAAAGCTATTCGGCTACCTTTTCTCACTTCATTTCTTTGAAGGTGATTTAATTTATTGACAGAGAATAACCCATCCTTAAAAATCGTATCCATACGTTGTTTCCATAATTCACGCTTAGAGTTTGTGTTCGAACATTTCCAACTTCAAAATGATTTCCTTTCCTAATGGCAGCTGACATGCAATTTGCAGCAGACGCATAAGTTATATTCCTAGGTTAAGGGTGGATTTTTGAACAGAGCATTATCCGATAATGCAGCTTTATTTACCGGATTTATAATGCATTTTCTCTGAAGTAAAGCTGCATTATTCGGGGAGAAGGAATGCTCCCATCAGTGGCGTGGCCCCCCCCCCTCCCCCCCCACCCCCCATCCCCCTGGAATACGTTTTAAAGGTTTGAGTCTCAAACATTTTTTAATTTGGTCATAAATGCAGGGTGGGTTACCAATTTTTCATACGTCAACTCCTTCCAGTGGGATTTTCTGGGACGCTATTGGCTCCATGATCTCCATCCATAAGATCCATTTTTTGCATAGAAGGAAAGAGGCTGTGGTTCAGCCTTTAGGCCTTACGTCCACGTAACTGCTCCACGTCGAGGAAAATGACCTCGATCTCTTTCGGTAGCACTATTTCAGTGTCTCTTCGATCGTCGTGTAACGCTCAACACCGTTCTTCCTCATGCTTCCAGCAATAATTTCCTGAAGGCGCGACGTAACTGCAACTCTTTGAAAGGGATGAATTCAACTCGGTGGTAACTATGCACCAGCGAATACTTGAAGAGGGACTCTCGTTCAGGGGTTCTGCATTCACTTAAGTGGATGTAACTTGAACCTTTTCTGCTCAGAAGATACAATCTCCCTACAATCTCCCATCAGAGGAGCCGTGACAGGGAAAAAAATGTACGTATGGTCGGGCTAAGTCGAAGGAATCGTGGTGCACGCATTAGTACCAGATGAGCTACTGCAGAAAATGTAGGAAAGTCGAGCGGGTTCATGGCAAGAGCATCAAACCTGAACTTGTCATGCAGAAAGTATGCGGTAAAAACTCGAAATCGGGTGAAGGTAAAGAAAACGGGAAGGCAGTATGGAGAGACAGAGAAGAGAGAGAAGGGTAGGGTGCGCAGCGGAAGGGAAGAGGAGGCAATGGCAAGGAAGGGGAGACGGAGCGAGGGAAGGGGAGAGGGATCATATCACCCAATGAATGAGAGCTTCAACCGCTCTCCCCTCGGCTTGGAATGGTTCGCGCCGGAAGTCTGGGGGAGGTCACATTCGAGTGTCAAATTACTACAGCACTAGCCTACCATTTTGGGGAAGTCTACGATCCCTGTCGGAGCTCTGCGTCTCCCTCTCCTTGTGTGCCGTCACAACTTGCTCTCCAGCTTTGTCCCATCGTTGCTTCGTATCTGTTCTTTTCTTGAATGAATGAAGGTGAGCTTTGCTTCTCCTCCGGTCGGAATCATAGGCCTAGGCTCGTCTCCACAGCGTGGGTCTTCACGAAACTTGCAACTTATATGATCGGTTCGGTTCGGCTACAGTGATTTGTTTGTGAATTCACACCACCTTAAACATACACTCCTTAGGCCTATTTGCATTTCTTTTGTAGGAGGTGCTTCCTTCCCCATTTTGCATGTGATGTATTGGAGGTGGTACGTATTAAATTGCGAATCACCGTAACTTAAGCGTAACGTTTTGGTATACTCTTGTCTGTCACGTCTAACGTCGTGATGCGACATGCCTAGCATAGATAATATTGTGATATGTCTATGTAGGCTTCTTACGCATAATGGAGCCTCAACCTATGGTAAAGCTAACGTTTGATGTTTGCTTAGGCTTAGGCCCTGATGGCCCGTGGAAGTTAGTTGGCATCTGGTCGCTAGGCCTAAGATTAAGACGGTCTAGCTGCCAAGCTGGGTGAGGCACAAGTCGTGCTACCGGTCTCAACCAATTATGCAGGGCTTTCTACTCCTATTATAGGACCCCTCCTACAAGTTTCCAGCAAATTCATATTTTTAGAATTGAAAATTGAATTGCTTTCCTCACTTGAAAATTAGTTATGCATTTTTCTCGAAAAAATCAATCTCTTCTATAGCCTCAGTTCAAATACTATTCAAGGATGGGTTGGAAAGAAGAAAGGGACTAGGCAGAAAAACATGGAAATGGGAACACAAGAGTTGAGTTCTTCATACAACCTTAACAGGGTTGAATGCATTCTGAACATGTGAAAGTGATTGTACCTTAATTCCATTGTACATTGTACATTGATTCCAATTACTCAGATTGTCAGGAGGTGGTGTGAAAGTTTTCTTTTGAAATTATGTCTTTAATTTGTTTTCCTTAGCTTAATAAGAACATTAGCAGAGCTTTGAGCCATTATATTTTATGTATTAATAGGACAAAGTGGGGAAAATGTTTAATTTTGTTCTATGTCCTATGAACTTCCATGGATAATTTACCCTCTTAGCAGTTAAGTTTATATTAATGTTTCTGTTCTTATAAAGCCAGTTTCAGTGTTCAATATGCATTTCCCCCCTTAATTGCATGATGATAATCAAGATCATATTATTAACTAGTTGGAGTTTTCTCATTTTAGAGTATTGTGTTCAATTTTGGAAGCTGCAAAAATAAAAGGCATATATACAAGTCTGAACTTAGAATATGTATTTCATGTAGTTTGGAATTATGTTTATATATGTGTTATTATTTTGATGCACTTTTTCACTCCATGAAAAACAATGCTAGAAATGCAAATTAAAGAAAGTATTTCCTGGAGCTCAATAAATTGCTTATTTGGCATGAAAGTTGTAATTTGGGAACACCAGATTTAAGATTGGATGAAAGATTGAAAATTTAATTTAGTGGTTAAACTCCAAGATACTTTATATCTTTCAGTTTCCATATTGAACCTTTTGTTATTCTATTTTTGGTTCTGGCATGCAGCTGATACAATAACTTATGATGCCTCTTTCTTGGCAAGACTTGCATATCATCCACTTGGATATACAGAGTAGGCTGTAAGTTACATCCCATTCACCATTGTAATATACTCATGTTTCTATTACCACCTGTTGATGTTCATATGTTGATCTTTGGTTTAACATACAGGCATTTTGATTCTGTGCTGGTACCTGAAATAATCTGAGGTAATATTGAAGCAATAGAAATAATGCAGGGCAATCCAGTAGATAAGGCAGAAATCAGCAGAATTGAATTTTTTAATGTGTGTGGGCTGGTTTCAGATTGGCATTTCCAAAAGATTTAGCAGCTATTTGGATGATCAATTTGGTAAAGCATGATTTTTTAATGGTTTTCATGGGTATCAGTCTCACTTCTATCTGATCTTCCTTGGACACCAAAAGGACAGTTGATATGCATATTACAATGGATGGTCATAAATTTCATCAAGTCACTGATGACCATGATAGCAGTTAAAAGCTGATCTTGTCTATTCATAGACTGCATGAAATGCTTTTTAAACATTCAGTCTGGTACAACATGGAGCATTTCTCTTGATCCAAGCATGATTTTCAAATTGTTTGATGAAAACAGGGTGACATTTTGTCTAGACTGAATCCAGTTGTGATGAACATATTGCATGGATTCTTGTGAAAATGGGAATGCTGTAGCAGCCATAAGCTGCTTTCATAGGACAGCGTGGTGCCCCTCAGCTTCTTTGAGATGGGTACTGGTTGCAGCTATTAGGGAAGGACAAATGAAAAGGCTTGATACATTGATTCTCTTCTGCTTATTTCCTTTGAATCAGTACAGCTTGTCCACCATTTTCCAAGTTGTTTTTAATTTTTGCTTGCATGAGATGATTGGGTGAAATATCTTTTTATTTGAGTAGATTATTCTAATAGTTTCATGCCCTGCTCATCCCTGCACATACCATGGGCCACCACACCATAATAGAGACTGTTGAAAAACAGCATGTTTACTGGGTCCAGACTGGACTGATGGAGTGTGAAATATTCATCAGAAATTGCAAATTAAGTGTTGGTACTAAAAATCTTTTGATGTGGCTGATTGTGACTTGATCTGACTTGCCTGATCTGTGAACACATGCATGGATGTGGAAATTTCTCACTGTAGGCTTTTGCTGCTACAGCTTTGGCCTGCTGTTAGGCCTGGTCATGAGGCACTGGGAAATATGTATCAGGTTTTCTTTATTTTAGGTTTATTTTCCCAGCATAATTAACCAACATGAATAACAGGTGAAATTTGACAAAAAGAATTGCCCAGCATCATTAGAAGTTTAGAGCCTGGTGATGCCACCATTACAGTTATCTCCATTGCTAGGTTAGGGTTCTTGGTAAGATCCTTAAATTGCTTAAATTTTAAATTCACAATTTCAAGGCCTGGTGTGAATATGTTTGATAAAAGCACAAAGTCTATAAGGATTTGCTGCAGATTTATTGTCAGGCTTGAAGCTTATTTTATTAGCATAGAGTACTAATTAGTTACTCATGTGACTTTCCTCACAGGCTGTTCATGGGCTATGATTGAACATAGTCTTGGAACTAAGTTGGCATATCCATAGACTTAGTTTGCATATTCACTGGTGGATTGTGTTTAACCCTAGATAGGTCAAAACTCTGGAACATCAAAATAAAAATATCTTACTATGCCAAACCCACATAGTCGAGTGTAACCATCATGTTGACATGATCAATGGGCAAGTGTGAAAAGTGGTATGTATTCTTACCAGAGAATGTTTAGAGAAGGTGTCTATGACATTAAGGTTCATTTCTAATAGGAATTTAATGGGAAAGTAGCCCATTTTGACAAATGGTACATATATAAACTGTAATCTATAAATGGTTAAAAAAAAAAAAAAAGTAAAAAAAAAAAGCTCTGCTTTCCTAGCTAAAAGCAGAAGCCTTCAGTGAAAAGAGTAAAGGCCTGATTATTGTTAAGCCTGTTAATGCTGTTTTCAGGGCTAGGTCTAAGTTGTGGAGCAATCAGGTTTGGTTTGCAAGTGGGCTAAAGACTTCAAACTTTCAAATCCAGAAAGCATGGGCAGATCTACCTATCTACTGCAATTGAAATTAGTCACAATTTGTGTGGGTTGTTACAAGACCTATCATTCTTTGAGTTGGGTAGGCTAGGCATGAGCTAACCCTATTTGTATGCTCTGCAATCAGCCTTTAGCTGCCACAAAAATAAAATCATTGATGTTACCAGATCCTAGTTATTAGCTGTTACTAGTATGTTTTGGTGAAATATATCCATCCCATTGGGTTGACTGGCTGTCTTTTTTCATGCCTTCATTTGATGTAATTTAAATGGTTATAATAATGATTCCTGAAAAGTAACAGCCAGCAGCCTTGGAAATATTACAATACCTTAATTTGTTATTATTATGATTATGATTCCTGGAACTGAGTTGAAAGAAAACTCCTTGCTTTTTATGTTGCAGAGGAGAGACATTTTGTTATTGCGGTGCAGAGGACAAGAGCTGAAAGGACGGCCTCATGGTGCAGCCATAAAAGATTATGTTGTGTCCAGGACCAGGTTAGGGAACCAGAGCCTGCTTATGGAAGAGAGTGGCTCCTTTGCCGATTTGGCCAATTTCTTGTGACAAATCCTCTACATGGCCCAGCATGCCATTGGTAATGAGGGTCCACTGGCCTCACTTACCCTGCCTGGGTTGTCAGGATCACCATTGTTGGACCGAATCTCATTGACAACACCTCGTCCTGGGTTAGTGAGATCACAGAATGAGTACATTGAAACTCCAATCAGACCCCAAGGACCTGGGAGGGGAGCTCCTGGAGCTGCCATCCTGGTCACTCGAACCCCTTCTGCCTCATTGTCAGCTGAGACCAGGCAAACTCTTTCCCGTGGTTCAAATGCCTTACCCACACGAACCGGGAGTTCCAGTGAGAAGAGAGCTCGGAAGCTCCATCGCCACCACCGTCCTGCATCTCCTGCCAGCAAAGCCTTGTCCAGGACGAACCAAGGAGGCAACACAAGTGATGGTGTTGTCACGATTCAGCCTCATTCTTTCACCAAAGAGATCAGTGATGCTGCTCTACGTGGGAGAAACTTGACATTGGGCAGTGATGAGGGCTCCTCTAATGCCCACAGTGATACAATCATCTGTCCAAATTGTAGACAGTGCCGTTGCAATGCTTGTCGCACTCCCAAGCCGTTACCACAAAAATGGCTTTGTCACGAAAAGTGTCTCTGTTCTCCAGAGAGTGTGGTTGACTATGCAAGTTGCCTATGCTGTGTCAAGGCACTCTTCTACCATTGTGCAGATGGAGAAGGTGAAGAAGGAATCACATGTGCTGATCAGCCCTGTGGATGTCAGCCATACAAGCTCAGGAGCAGGTGGGCATGCCTCTCTGCGCTAACATTTGTCCTGCCTTGCCTAGCATGCTACTGGCCATTTCGTGGGTGCCTCAGGTTGACAGAAAAATGTTACCAAAGGTATCACCGAAGAGGTTGTCAATGTGAAAAGGCCTCAAGAACTGCTCGACTTCTCTTCCCAGCAGAAAAGTCTCTTCTTGAAAGAGATTCGAGTGGATCCGATTGCTGATACAACTGGTCATCCAATGCATTGGAAATCTTTTCTGGTGATAGCTTCCTTTTTTGGATTGAGATTTCTATTTTCGCTGTGATGGGATGTGGCACTGGGCCAACAGTGCTAGTGATCCAGGTGCTTCTATATATCAGGTTTGTATGGCCAGCCTGATACTGTGCTCTCGATTCACCCACCACTTGATTTCCACCTTAGTGCACAACATCCCAGTGGAATGTCTTCATTTGGCCTTTTGGTCATCTCTTCCAATCCTCCTTACTCCCCCATCATGAAGTGTTCCTACTCACAAGGCAGGTAAAATTTCTCCCATGATTGAGCTAGGTTTCCTGAAAGAAAGACAGATCAATAGCAGACATTTTCATTTCATTTAATATGAACTTTTACTGAGTAGGATTCCAATTGTTTTGCTTGCTATAGCATCTACTGTGAAGTTAGAATGGTCCTGTCATATGACTCAAGAAGACAGTTCATTTCAAATTGCTAGAGGGAAGCAGTGCTGAGGATTACTAAATAAGTAAAGGAGGAATGTGTTCCTTCGACTAGTCCTTGGCATCTGCATTGCTTGCCTCAGTCTGTCATTGCTTCAAAGCCCTTGAATGCATGCCCACATGGGTGTATGTCCATCGAAATTCTTTGAATGATAGTTCAACTTAGTATGAGAGTTCTTGAAGCATCAACCAAGGCATTCTTGAAGGTTGAGTAAAAGTTTAAATGTTAATTGCTTCTGGGATAAATCAAATCATGCTTTTTTTTTTCAAAATTATATGACAGTCCTATGTCAATCCAGGGATGAGTGTCATGTTCCATGCATGATGGCTTGTTCTCATTAATTCTTCTTGTAAAGTATAATATTTATTTTTATTTGATATGGAAGTGTTGAAATGCTGTTTTTTTCCATTGATGATCTAGTCCTTGCTCACTGAAAATAGTAATAAGATGGACAAATTTTTATGCTGAGGCAACATCCATGTTGCCTGCATGGTCATGTATGCCTGAAACTCAGAAATGTACAAGAGGAATCGACTGTACTATATGTACACACGCCCACAAATTTTTGTTGGAAATGAGAGTGTATGTTTGTAGATACTTAGAAAATATATTAACTATTGAGAAGCTTGAAGCTGAATACTCTTCATTCATTTCCTGTGGGGGAAGTCACATTTGGAAGGGAATAATACTGTGAAATGGACATCACAATCCAATTGTAGAGAAGCTGGATACAGAGATTGAAGGGAATCAGAAAGCGGGGATGTTGATCATGCCACACCAGGCCAAGGGCTGGAAGTACCCCAGGCTCCCCCAATTTGTTTTCTACCCATTTCAGCCAGAGAGTGAGTGCAGGTGAGGCCCATGAGGGATGTAGAGGAGAGAATGGTCATGTCCTCTTTTGCGAGGCCCAGGGGCCCTGTATGCTGTTTCTCTTTTTCTCTCCCCTCCCTCCGTACCTACCTTCCGTCCTCTCTGGCTCACTGCGGGGCACAGATTTCTTTTATCTGTGTAAACATCGGGCCAGTGTAAGGACCCACACCTGGGGCCTATGCAAACTCTTATCTACAACAATCCTTTGAGAGATCGAGGCAGATTTAACAAAAAAAGAATTCCAGTTGATCTGCTACGAAGGAGGGAAAAGAATGAAGAAAAAAAGGATTCTCTGGAGGTATCCGTGATCGTAAATCTCGTGACGGTTGATAGGGGACATTGAATGAATGGTGGATGGCATTTCGCAGTGACCTCGATAGTCATTCGGTTGAATGTAACGCTTTTTAGCGTTTCCGTTCGGCTCTCCTCTTATGCCAGGACGTGACGTCACAAACGTAATGATCCACGGATTTCCGGGAAGTTCAGGATCAAATGAATGAGATAGTATACAATGGAAATGGGGGCGGCGGCAATACAGGTCGGAGGGAAAGGTTTGCTCATAGTAGTTTCGCGTGTGTCTGTTAACCAGAGATGAGACTCAGTCGAAGCTAGCAGTATTTCGAAGGAAACTAGATGATATGGAAGGCAGTGTGGCCGGAGTTTCCAGTTGCATTTCATCATTTGTCAAATGAGAGGCCATTGCAGGCAAGGGGAGATGATGTCAAGCTCATGTCTGGTTTCTTTCACATCCCTTCTTTCTTTGCCTTCCGCTGTCCCTCAAGTGAACTCCTGTCCCATCTCCCCTCCCCCCATCCCTGATATTGTGCTGATAACCCGTGGAGTACCGAAAAAAAAAGAATGGTTTCGCATTTGGCTTCTTTCCCGCCTCTTTTCTTACTCATTCTTTTCCCCTTTCGATACTGAGTTCCTCAGTTCTTCCTCATATGGCCTGCATGTGCGATGTCGAAAATCTCCCCACCTTTCGCGTGTGATGAAAGAAAGGTGAAGAGACGAGAAGTAGAAGGCCAAGACGTGCCTGGATGCTGCCCATGCAACTTTTTTCTCTTTCTCTCATTGGCAGCAGGTTATTATTATTCTGGAACGGAGAGTGTAGATAGGGAGGCTGTGGACGTGGAGGGGAATTGAGGGCGCGGCGCCTGCGCGTTCATTCATACCGCTTTCTATGAATGAGCCTCCCTCTCCCTTCACAAACCCAACCCCGGAAGAGAGAGAGAGGAGAAAGAGACTGACCTCTCTCCCAACGGTGAAATATGCCGGTCTCCTAATTGCTGTGCCCTTGCTCCCTTAACCCGTCGAGCAGAGCATTTCCGGCCCCCGCAAAGATAATAGAGCGAAGACCAATTAAGCGGGTATCCTCCTCCTACCGTACACCTGGCTCTGAAGTAAGAAAGAAAGAGAGGAGAGCAATTTCCGCTTGGCCTGGAATACACACGGGAGATAATCGGCGATAATGCCGGGCTGATGTCGCCTTGGCGAGCCCATGCGAACAGATTTTTCCTGTGCGCCGGAGTCTGAAAAAGACGATGGCGGTTTCCTGAATTAGATGGCCTAGTCGTCGTCAGCCGGAAGTGTACAGATGACGCTGCCATGTATCGCTACTTCTCTCTCCCTTCATCTTTCACATGGCAGACATGATGGCAGTGGTCCAAAGCCAACAGGAAGTGGAAACAAAAAGGAACAGAAATGTTACCGCTTCGCTCTGATGTATCAACGAACCTCTCGTTTGGAGGAGGAAGCCCGCGCAATATCTGAATATTGTTTAAATTTCTGTTGGCTTTTAGAGATGTGTGCTTTTCTAAGGTAACGAATTGTCTGACAGAGAAAAAAAAAAACAATTCACGATGTGGGAGGGTGGGAAACTGCATGTTGACGATGAGTGATTTCTTTTAACCCACCCATGTTTCTTTTTGTCTCAGATTTTTATCATAGTCACCTAATTTCTTAAATTGAAATACTTGTCTAAAGACCAGACTTGAAATGATGCAACCATGGCTAGGGAAATGGATAAAACAGATTGCTGCTCCTGGAGTAGCGAACAAGGAACTGTCATCTACTTTGAGGGCGATACTCAGATGGTCAAGCTAGCATCCTAGGTCCGTCTGAACACAAAAGGACCTGTTTTTTTAAAGCACACAATCTCCTTTCCATCCCTTACAGCTCAGGATACATAGTACCGCATCTTCAATTTTTTCCCCTGGTGAGTGACAACATTTAATTCAAATAGCCTTGTCGCGGATTTTTCCTTTTATAGTTCTATCCCCCTTCCACAGATGTTATGTTGGTGATGGGAGTCGTTGTGTGTACGCTACAGTGAACGGTGTTTATGTGGGGGATCCTAATTCCCGAACCAATAAAATACCAGAGGATGGAAGGAGGAGAGGGCTTCCTGGGCGAGGCTGGGTTTCGTTCCCTCCGTTTTCATGTAGCATGTGGCCTGGGGCAAGGCAAAAAAGGCGGGACCTGCCCATTGCCCATCGCCCCTGGGCCCTGACTGATGCTGGTGGCTGGGGCTGGCTACCCTCTATTTGCATAACCAGTTCCTCACCCAACAACTCCCAAACGCCAAGGTGAGAGAACCTTCCATCTTCCCTCCCTCTCCTCTTTTTCACTCCTCTTCCCCATCTTCCGAGTCAATCGAGCATTTCCCTACTCGAGCTTGTGAAAAAAAAGCACTGACTACCGCATTCTATGGAACTCTCATCCAGAAATAAATAAAAGAAGCCAAGATCTTCAGTATTTAATAGTGTAGCCTGAGTTTATGTGGAAGAAAGAGGGAGGGAGAGAAAGAAAGAGGGAGGGGGGGGGAGCAGGTGATGATGGGAGGTATGCGGATTCCATTCATGGGGATGGGCATGGCCATGGGCAAGGCAAAAGAACTTGCGTAGGAGAGACTGGAGGAGGGTTGGGCCTTCCAACATGGGTTGGGCTTGGCAGGATAACATATAACATGGGCATGTGTATGTAAGAAAGGAAGAGACTTGACTCATCCTGCCTTCTTCATCGCCTCCACCAAGATCTCCGCATTCATCCATAACGCTCAAGTTCATCGTAATTACGTGGCGCTGCATTGATCACTAGACTTCATAATCTGTCTTTCTGAAGAGAAGAGGGCTCAAGACTCGTAATTTATGGTCTGTGTCTCCTCCTTTCCCCATTCACGATACTTGGGGCAAGGGATCGGAAAATTTTTATTGCCGTTTTCCGGCCTGTCTATGTGTATGTGTGTGCGTGTGTTTGGGCCCCCAATCCTATTCAAAGGAGTTCCTGGGCCGTGAATGAGATTTCAGGAGAAAAAGAGCTGGTCATCTCATTGAAGGCGTGTCCACTTACCCGTTTCCGGCTCTTTTTCACTTCACTCCTTCACTCATCTATCCAAGTTCTTCTCTCTAGTCCTTGGTCGCTCGATGATGTGACCTTGGTATGCCGCACATCTTGTCACGAAGGAGCGGGTGCTTTACATCACCCAGCTCTGTCTCTCTATCGCAATGGCAGGCAGGATGGAATCCATTCAGTTTTCTTCTTTTTCATGTTCTACCGGAAAAGGAAGAAAGGAGGGAAAATAGAGGATGGGGCGGCAAGATCAAAGGACATTCCCTCCGCTCAGATTCGTGTTTATATTCCACAGTAGCTGAATTTCTTTCACTGCAGGCGAGGCACGCACGAATGCAAGGATCAGAGACGTGTCAGTTTTTTTTCAATTTCTTCTGACTCTCGTTTCATGATTGATAAAAGGGAGAGTGAGGTGCGATGAGAGAGCACGCAAAAAAAATTATCTCGAGCTGCATCCATTGAAGAATTTGCGCAATATCCCTCAGGTGGAATATGAATGAGATATCCTTGACTCGGAGAGGTTCGCTGGTGAATGAAAATTTTATCGCGCAATCCCCCCCCCCCTCTCCAAGGCCATGAGCCTGGAGCCCACTGATAAACTCCCTTGTCCAGACTAGGACAGCACGTTCTATTCCTCGCGCTCTCCCATGCACTGCAGTACGAATGAATGGACAGAGAATTCCCTCTACTTCGTGTCAGGGGTTGTTGGGTAAAACGAGGAGCTTCAAAATTTTTGCACAAGGAAAATGCTATGCTGTAAAAAAAAAATATCCTCAGAGAGAGGAGTTGTTCCCGTTTCAGGAATCTCTCAAATCTGTCTTGTCGTCTTTGTGGAATGCCTCCAGATGTTGACCAGAAATGAGGGTCGAAGATAAGCATTGAAAGAGAGGATGGATAGAATTATCCCGACTGGGGACCGGAAATTGGACCAAGAGGAAAAGAGAGGAGGGGGGCAGATTAACGGGTAAGACAGAGAGGAAATGCCTGAGTCTGCAATCATCATTATGAGGAGCCAGACAGGTCTCCCTGTAAATCAAGACCCACACCTCTTGTCACCATATAATGGAGAGTGCAGTCTTCCTTCCCCCCGGTGTCCGGGGCAGTTTATAGCTTATGCATCACAGGACAAAAAGAAACTCCAGGAGACAAGTATTCAGCATTGTTCTCCTTAATCATAAATAGCAGATAGATATTGAAGCGTACTCGTGGAAAGTATGAGCCAGGAGGTCATGTGCCCCGATGGAGGACGTGAGAAACTTACTGGATAAAGTACTTGAGAAACGGTGATAAAAACGCCCTCCAATGACCTCATGCTGGGTAAATCGTACGATATTCAAGTGCTTTCTGTGTCATATTTCTTGGTCATGGGGTATAATCCAGGAAGTCGTGTGTTCAGGGATCTCGTCGTCACACCCCTTCCCTTTTCCCACGGAAATTTATTCGACATGTGCACGCTGATTGAGGGATCGCTTCCGGGAAGGGATATGCGCCATGTGTGGGGAAGGAAGGAAGGAAGGAATGTTTGCAGCGGACTTTTTCGTTCTAGAAAATCTTTTTCTTCCACTCTTGCCGGCAGCGCATCCGGCCCCCTCTTTTCGCTGAGGAAAAGAGAGCGAGAAAAAAAAAAGTCCGCTT